AACAAAGTTTGCCAAAGTGGGAAGTGCATGTTGTTGCTGCTGGCAACACTGGTGAAAGGAGACCAGCTATGAATGTGCAGAGTCCTAAGCTGGAAAAAGGCTGCAATGTGGGGAGCCTGGACAAGACACGCTGGCAAGAGCGATGCTTGCGGTGCAGGGAGTGGGGGCACACTGTCTCTAAATGCCCTTTGTCTCAGCCTCCATTGCAAAGTTGCATATCAAAGCAAAGGACTGCATCTGTGTTAGGCAAGCCGGCTCTGAGTGCAAGGAAGGAGCGACAGCCTGACCACAAGTTTGAGAAGAATGTGGTTGCCCATAGCAACACATGTGACTTCAGGCCTGCGGACCCTGTAAGAGGAGTGTCGTCTGCAGAGGATTGTGACAACGCAGAAATGAGAGTTCAGCGCATCTGGAGGAACCCACAAAGTTCAGCTGGGAGAGTGCCATCTCCCATAGCAACAGGAGAAAGCCTGGCAACCAGGAGAAGGGGCTACAAGGGAGATGTCGTTCCGTATCCCAAGAAGGTTATCGGTGGAACCATACCCTGCCTGGAATGTGGTCAGTTTGGGCATGGTATCTTTTCCTGCCCCAGATTATGGAATACCACTGATGAGGGTGCTACTGAGCAAAAGTCTTCATCTGCAAGCCCAGATTCCTTTTTAAAAATGTTGGCAGCCACCTCTGGCAACAGTGAAAAAGTACCTGTTGTGCCTGCAGGGGGTGCCAAGGAGTCAGAAGTGCCTGCCACGGTATCATCCTATAGCTGCATGGATGAACTGGGTGGCCAAAGCCAAGCAGAGGAGAGACTACGCACTCAAGTGAAGGCTATGACACCTGCTTCAGGAAATGGTAAGACTGTTTGTGGGACTGAGTCCAAGGAAGTGAGGGTGTGTCCTTCAGGGAGTTCCACAATACAGATGGACATGGACTGGCTGCTGTGTGCTACCCTGAGTAGTGGGGAGGCACAGGGAACAGCCCAACGATTAGCAGGACTAAATATGGAAAAGGACATGGGGACTCTGCAGGTGCCTGCTATAATCCAGCAGAAGGCTGGGGATGGTAACCTAGGGGTGACCAAAACTGCCATGGCACCGTGTTCCCTAGTGATAGGTGCTGCAGAGATGCCCAGGGAAACCTCCCAGGAGCCCGCAGTGACGGAGCAGAGGATTTCCCAGGTCAGCTATGGAGCTGCAGTCATGTCTATAGGTAATGAGAATGCTGATGGTCATGCCAACAAAAGTGTTACTGTTGGTAAATGTAAGGTTATGGTTGGTGTGATGGGCTAGCACAGCTCACTAAGGATAACAGTGTTGATGTGAATATGATTGAAGATATGTTGTTGCCCTTGGCAACAGTATCCAAGGCTGCAAAGGTGTCCATGGAAACTTCCTGGGAGCTCTGTGTGTTGGAGCCAGAGGTTGCCTGGGACAACTATGTTGCTGCTCTGGACAAGAGAGTACTTGACACAAATGATGATTTAAATGCTAAAACTGAAATCTTTGAAAATGCTCATGGTGATAATGGGTTAACTGAGTCTGTCAGTACTGACAATATGTATGGAAGTGTTCCTGAGGTGAATGAAGCGCCATCAGAGTACGGTGGTGAAGGTGTGGTATTGCAACCTGTTGAGGTTAAAAAAATTTAGTGCCACAGTTTTGGTTGAACAAAAGTGATATATGTGATGTGTCTGCTGAGCCACTCTGTCCTGTGTCTCCTCCGGCAGTTGGTGCGGTACTGCGTAGTACCTCTGATTGGAGCGCAGAGAAAGTAGACTGGGACAGATGGGCTGAAAACCTGTTGGCTTTGTTGAAAGGGACCTCTGTTTCCAACAGTGGAGTGGACACGACTTCTGCTGTGCTAAATGGAGGGACTGCAGAGCGGCTTATAGACAAGGGCACACTTGCTGTTGCTGCAGATGATCTCCCTCCCAATATGGACGGGCCAAGTGAGATTGAGCACATAGCAGAGATCGTGCCCACAAACCACAAAGGATCCAGTGGTGTGGGAATGAATAGTGTGATCCCAAATGAGCCCGTGTTGGTGGAAGTGTCAGATGGCACACGTCAAGTGATTGGGGTCAGTAAACCAAATGTAGAATTATGTTATGATGGTCAGGTGTCAGGACAGTTGCTGGAAGAGGTTCATGTGCCAGTGGAGCTGGTGGATAGCGATGTTGCCATGGGAGACAACCACTCCCCGCTGTGCACTTGGTTTCCAGACACTGCCCTGCCAAACATTGAAATGAGTTCTGACAAAGGTGTGGATGTTTCTGACCATGAGGAAAAGTGCGATGCATTGGTAAATGGTAAATATGATGATTTGGAAAAGTGCGAGGCACTGGTAAATGTAGATCAGTTAGTTTCTGTGGGTGACCATAAGCCTAATGATGCACCTGAAGGTCATGAGGACATGCATGCGGATAACCCTGAAACATGTGATGTGGTGGGTAATGATGTGCTAGACACAGCTGAACTAAAAGCTGCAGCTGAATTAGGCCCCCTACAGGTTCAGGAGGGTACTCTGGGAAGAGAAACTTTAAATAGCTTATCTGCCCAGAGGGAAAACTTTAAGGAAGTGGATAATTTAAAGAGGTCCCCTGACATAAAAACATCTGAAGAGCAAGACAATCGGTCTGTCCTTCAGAAGGAGAGTAGGACATTGCTGTCATCTGAGAATGTCAGAGACAAAAGGAAGCATGCAGTGTACGGGGGGAAACCAACCGAGCTAGGTTTTGTCAGTAAAAGGATGCATGTACATAGAATGCAGAGAGGGACTAAGGGAAACCCCAATAAAAGAGCCCACACTTTTTGTGTTTAAAAGCGTGACCCCTTCAAAGGTAAAGGGAAACCGGCAGTTGAGAGTGCAGCGTAGCTTTAATGTTATCCGACACCTAAAACTCAGGCGTCAACCTCATCCTCAGAAAGGTCCCAAGTTTTGGAAATTCCTTAATGGGAAGGTGACTTGGGTGGCCCCAAGGAAAATAGAAAGGCAACGCTTTTGGAAGCGAACCCGTAAAAAGGCGCAGTGTCTTTTTAAAGCCCTAGTCCGTGTAGTAGGAGAACACAGGGAAAGTTGCCTCGTAAGACAGGAAGGAAAGTTTCCCTTTGAAAGTGATGTCAGTCAGGAAGGGGCTCATATAGGTGAAAGCTGGCACAGAGGTGCCAAAGTAAAGAGTTTGGGCTTGTGTGTTCTGCCCCCTACGGGATCAAAACAAAGGGGGGGGATATGTGGCAGTGCGGTATCCTGCCACGGTGGAAAGCACGATGGAGACCCAGGATTCTCAACCTTACAGGTTGAGGGGCTCCAGGCAGATCTCCTAATGCAGAGGAAACTGGTTTATCAGTTTCCTCTTTGGTTGGTAAAGCCTGTTTTGGGACCTGTAGCCTGGAGATTTCTTAGAGATTTGGGAGGGATGAAATCTCCAATCCTGGGCCCATATTTTGGGAGCAGCCAGCGTGCTGATTGCACAGGTGTGTGCAGGCCTTTTAGGGGAAGCCAGGCCATGATTCTGGGCTCCACCCCGGCAGTTAGGAGGACTCCACCCAGGCAGACGGGAGGTCTCTGCCGTGGAGTCAGGTGGGCTACACCTAGGAGAGGTGGAAGCCGGACTAGCTGTGTGCTAGTGCCATACTTTGGGAAGAGTCTGCAGGAGGCAGACTTAAAACTGCGTACAAGCCAGGAGGCTGAATACTGTTCATTTGAATTCGTGTGATGGTGGATACCCCTGCGTGGGAAACCTTTATGTTATTGAACTGACATTTAAATAAAAGTGGGCAAACAGGCCCTTAAAAAATAAGCGAGTTGCCGTGTGCTTTGAAGAAGCTCTACCACTTGAAGCGAGGTCCCACAATATATATATATATATATATATATATATATATATATATATATATACACAAAACAACAAAAAAACAGCGCAAAATCTAAAATTACAATAACAAAAATATTTAAACACTAAATTTATAATAAGTGTCCGTGAAAAAAAAAAAAAAAAATATATATATATATATATATATATATATATATATATATAAGTCCTTATTCCCATCAAAACCAAAAAAAATCGATCAAAAATCTTCCAAATGTGCTTCCACCTATCCACCACGTGAGAAATAATGTTGACCGCACTCACCAGATGGAGGTGGAAGGCTGTTCATCCTCTGCAGTGACTATAGAAGCGTGAGATCCCTATATCTACATTCTGAAAATGTGTTATCTTGAAGCCATTGAGGCTATTAAACAAGGCTTTTAATTTTATTTAAACATGTGAGTGGCCTTATTCTATCTTTATATTTTATATGGAGTGGCAGTATTACACTAAGTAGTTTTTTTCTCTGCACACCATTGAGGAATCCATGGAGAAAGAGAGTGGAGACGAGGGCTATACCATAGCAGGGTGAAGAAGGAGATTTGAGTTCCTTTGGAGGGGTTATAGGATCCCTTATATCCTATAAGGCTCACTACTCACCTCCATCTGGTGAGTGCGGTCAACATTATTTCTCACGTGGTGGATAGGTGGAAGCACATTTGGAAGATTTTTGATTGATTTTTTTTGGTTTTGATGGGAATAAGGACGTATATACTTTTTTTTTTTTTTTCACGGACACTTATTATAAATTTAGTGTTTATCTATTTGTGTTATTTTAATTTTAGATTTTGCGCTGTTTTTTTGTTGTTTATTATTGGTGTTTTTTCACTGGTGCACAGCTGCATAATCATATAGTTTTTTCTTTTTTTGGCGCTGGGATATATACTTTTGTTTTTATATATATATATATATATATATATATATACATATACAGTATATATTACAATATCCTACAATCACCATGTTTTGGACAAAGCCACAACACCCCACCCCCCATACTGTGCTGCAAGACACCACAAGTTACATATAAATCTACCCATGCAGTTGTAATAGGTGATCTAGTGACATGAACAAGCTCTAATTTGCAGAGATGGAATTTTCTTGTGTTCCTGGCTTGCATTGACTGCCTCACCTTATGCACTTTGGCGTTAGATGGAAGTTTAAAGCCTTCACCAGAACATCTTCTGAGAATGGATGTTTTCCTGGTGGTCTCTCGATGTCCACATGAGCAGAATTGCAGAGTGCATGGACCCCAGTGTCTGTACGGCTGGAGATGTAAATTGTGGGGGTGCCAACAATTCTCAGCTTCTGTAATGACATCTATAGACAAGAATGGTACACATTAAAGAACATTAAACCAATGTATCTGCTACACAAAGACAAGTAACTGCCTGACTTATTTTGAAATGGGCTAAGATTAATTACTGTCTTCGGCCTCTTTCACACGGGCGTTCCGTATGTCCGTTGTTCATCTGTCTGTTTACGCATGAAATACGAACCCCCATGTATTTCTATGGACTTTGCGGATGTAAACGGATGAACATCTTTTTACATCCGTTAATGTCCGCATCTGTCAATATCCATTTTTTTTTTGAACGGAAGAAAGCTCTTTTTCTTCCGCAAAAAAAAACCCGGAACGGACGAAAAAACGGATGTCAACGGATGTAAATGGACCAAAAATGGATGTAAATGTAAGAAAATGGACATAAACAGATTAAAAATGGATGTAAACGGATCTAAACAGATGTAAACCGGATGTAAACCAATGAAAACGGATGAAACAACGTATGAAAAAATGGATGAAAACAGATGTAAACTCAACTTTCTTTGAAAAAAACGTGACTGAACTGAAAAAAAAAAAAAACAGAACCACGTGTGCAAGGACCCTTCCTCTTTTGTATTGCCTTTCTTTTATAAGAATTATGTTTAGCCCAATCTGTACCGTTAAGTCAAGCTCTCCATTTAGGCCAGAGTAATTGGAAATACAAAATTGCACAAACCAAGAGCTGAGGTTAAGTTTTCCAATGGGAATAACTGTCTAAGAGAGTAATTCCCTTAACCCCTTCTTCACGCCAGCGCCTCCAGGCCCTTTAAGGGTTCCAGAAGCCAGGAGGCTGGGTCTAGGGTCATGTGACGCGCCATCACGGCGGTCACATGATCGGGAATGGTCCCGATCGAAAGAAGAGATCGGGACCTTTCCATGAGTACTGGACACGTGGGCTGGGAGCACGCAGGGCACGCGCTCTCGGCACATATGTCCTTTTTTAATAGAACGTAAATGTGCGGCCGCTTGGCGTCTAGGCCCAGACGCTGGGATGCCGCACATTTGTGTGCGGCTGGCATGAAGAGATTAACCCTGTATAGATTTTCTCCCCTCTTTCTGTTGCATCTCCAGGTCAGGGCGTGAAAGGGAAAAGGGAAATCTTCCCAGTGGTACAGACAGCAAAAAATTAACTGAAAGGAGTTCTAACCCTTTTTTAGTTGGATTAGAAAAAGAAAAGACAGGGCTATAAATACACCATGTATAATACGATTGTTTTGCTTTTGAGTTCCTTTAAAACACAACTAAACACTCATGTATGACGAACTAAACAAGTACCATATCCAGGTACTATGTGACGCAGAAGCCTCTTAAAGTGTTACTAAACCAACAACAGTATAATCAGTCTATATATGCAGTAAGGCATGCTTGTTATACTCACTGTGGAACCTAAGGGGTTAATCCTGTGCATTGTGTAAAAAGGCCATTTGATGTTTTCTCTGCCCCTGCTCTTGTTCAAATGTCCATGTCTTCTCTCCTAATAAGACAGACTGAACCCATAGCCACAAGCACATGCTCAGTTTAGTGATTGATAGAAAGGTTTTATTTTTCTTGGGAGAGTGCATGTGATCAGCATAGGGCCAATCAGCACTATCCAGACAGAGGTCAGGGGTTTTGTTTGTATGCTCCTAGAGCAGAAAAAAAAAACTCCTCCTACAAGCTTTAACCAGTGCTCTGCTGAACACTGACATAAGTCACAAGACTGATCTAACTGCTGATGAGAAAAGGTATTTAGCAGTTTATGTTTACTTCCGTGTACTGTGAATGCAGGGTCCTGGGTTTAGTAACACTTTAAAGTAACCAAAAAGGTTTTTTGCTTTTCCTGGTGGAGCAAAATCTTTTTCATTTGTGTCTCACATGCTCCACAACCCAGACACTGCACCTCACAGAGGGAAGGTTTCAGCAATAGAGGCAGTACTGCTCATCCAGATATTAGGGGGCAAGATTAGGTGTAGCCAAGTGCTTCTTGACAACTACAGACTTGTGAATCAGTAGTGACAATACTGATAGCCACACCCCATACATTTTTTCAACCCACTGCACTGTAGTGCAAGCAGGCTCAAGTTACCCGAAAGTGGCAACTATGCTCTGAATTCAATAGCAGTGCAACATTGTTGCCACGCCATCACAGGAAGCTGCATTAGGTGGACTGGCAGGCTCAGCAGGTACTTGTGGGACTTTGCAAGGGAGCTAAGAAAAAATTATCAGCGTACATGCACTTTTAGGTAATGCTGAAGTTTAAAGTGATTGTTAAGTCTAACATTTTTTTTAATAATAAACAGGTTTATACTTACTTAAGGTAAAAAAAAAAATGTCTAGGCTTTACAACTACTGTAACTTTTTTTTCTTTTTGTACAGCTGCAGTCACATAACCTACCTGTCATGAAGTATGTACCACATCCTGCAAGCCGATTGGTTCCTATAGAAATCTCTCCACTAATGTCTAGTTCTCTTCACAGTGCTGAATCTTCTGTGCTGCAAAGGTTACTAGTTTCATATCTAACACTGAAGTACACTGAAGAGGGTCTTGAGGAGAATGAATGATAGGATCCTCTCCCTCATTCAGAAAATGTGATGCATTCAGTGAAAACAATGCAAGAGATTTTATGAATGAAGGAGCGGACAGAATTGGGTGAATGCCCATTGGGACCTTCGTCGCAATGTACTTCTATGATAGACCCAAAGCTACTGATTGGAGACAGTCATTTTTGAGAAGATTTCTACAGGAACCATCAGCCTGCAGGACATGGGACATAGTTCATTACATGTAAGTTATGTGATTACAGCTGTAGAAAAAATGCACAAACTTCAAGCCATAGTTCTACTCTAAGGAGTGTGGAGTTTTGCAGATTAATAAAATGTCTCAGTATATATTATTGCATCTACATGTATTACAAGAGAGTGCTGCAGGGTTACTAGAGAATGTTACTACAGGCGTACCTCGATTTACGAATTTAATGTGCTCTGCGGGACGTTTCGCATTGCAAAAAATTAATAAACCGAAAACGTGGATTCCCATAGGAATGCACTAAAAACCAATTAATCTGTTCCGGAGGTCAGAAAAAAGTAAAAAAAAAGTCTTATCTGTTCAAAACTCTTCATAAAGTGCACTTTAAAGGAATAAATACTGTACAGGGACATGATTAAAATATATCCAGAATGGCTCCAAAATTCGATGCAAAAACCGCTCCAACACCTCCACACTAGACGCTACCTGCTACCCACAGACTCCAGCATACATGGGGCGGCGCTATAAACCTCCCAGGCGCAATTCATCCTGGAGAAACTTGCTTCGTATTGCGAAAAAATTTTGTAAATGTATTGAAAACCAATAAATACGTTCCGGAGGTCAGAAAAAAAAAAAAAAAAAACACTTTTTATCTGTTCAAAACACTTTATAAAATGCACTTTAAAGGCACGGGGCTGTCGCTATAAATCTCCAAGGCGCAATGCATTCTGGGGAAACTTGCTTCATACTGCGAAAAAAAAATAAACCGAAGCATTATTTTCCATGGATTTTCATTCGTAAACCGAAAATTACGTTAACAGAGGCGTTCGTAAACCGAGGTACGCCTGTAGTTTCATTGGTGGTGCAGTGGATGCAGTTTTCTGGGAAGTTCCTTTTCAGCATAGGTTTCTAGCAGCAGTATATCTGGAATAGACATCACAAGTAAACGTGACAGACCCATAAAGAATGCCGTAGAATTGCGTAACAAGAGAGAAACTTTTCACTGTGCATGTGTACCAAAATGAAATGACCATGTCTGGGCAGCAGTAACTTCATCCACCAAACTACTCAGGATAAAATGGGAGGTAGGTCAAAGCTCTCAGGAGAAGATTCAATTACAAAGTGCTGAGTCTCCTGTCCAATCTGGAAGCATTGGCACGTCTAAATTACTACAGAGTTAGTGCCCAGGGCCCCAAATCCCTAGACACCACTGCACAGAATTAAAAGAAAAGCAGTCTGATGCTTACATGAGGGCTTTCTCATAGTGTATGTGGTTATTCATCTAGCAATGAAAGAGCTGAACAAATATTGTAAATCTGGTGTGTGAGTGCCACGTGCCACCTAATCCAAGCAGCAGGGGGCATGAGCCGCAGAATGAAGTGGTGCTGGGTGCGTGCCAACTTGACGGGAAATAGCCTTACGGATCTTCTATAACAGCCAGGGAGAGTATCTAGTGATAATCCCTGTCTGCATTTTGCTGTTCCAACACATTAGATGAGGGGAGGGGGTCTCATGCCGCAAAGATCAAAAAGAAAATAAAATCTTCTTGTCACCTATAGCAACTTAATGTTACTCTTTATGCATACAAACAGCTAACTATACCATTAAAACACATATACGGAATTTGCTTTACCTGACAAAGTATTTGTACTACGGTCAACTCAGTTGCAAGGTTTAAACAGTACAGCCAGTCTGAGGACTTCATTTTTCTACAGTGCCTTGCAAAACATAAATGTATTTTATTGGGATTTAATGTCATAGACGAACACAAAGCGGCACATAATTGTGAAGTGGAAGGAAAATGATCAATGGCTTTCAAAAGTTTTTACATATAAATATCTGAAAAGTGTGGCATGCATTTGTATTAAGCCACCTTTACTCTGATACCCCTAACTAAAATCTAGTGGAACCGATTGCCTTCAGGAGTCACCTAATTACAAATAAACAGTGTCCACCTGTGTGTAATTTAATCTCACTATAAATACAGCTGTTCTGTGAATTCCTCAGAGGATTGTTAGAGGACATTAGTGAACAAACAGCATCATGAAGGCCAAGGAACACACCAGACAGGTCAGGGATAAAATTGTGGAGATGTTTAAAGCAGGGTTAGGTTATAAAAAAAAATATTCCAAGCTTTGAACATCTCACAGAGCACTGTTCAATCCATCATCCGAAAATGGAAAGAGTATGACACAACTGCAAACCTACCAAGGCATGGCCGTCCACCTAAACTGATAGGCCAGGCAAGAAGAGAATTAATCAGAGAAGCAGCCAAGAGGCCCATGGTAACTCTGGAGCAGCT